CTCCCCAGGCTCCACCCCCAAAATCTCCAGGAATTTCCCAACCTGGAGTTGCCACCCCTGTTCTGCACAGTCACTCAGATATTTGTCTTTTCTTGTCCTTTAACAGTAGAAATGTTGGTTTAGAGAAGCCCTTCCATTTCAAAAGCAGTTTATTTGGCGGCACGAAAAGGCTGCTGCCTGGAATACACAGTTACTTCCAGGGCACGGAGAGCTCTTTGCATCCTCGCCTTTAAGCGTCGTCAAACCCTTGCTAACCTACCCAACATGAAAGGGACCTCCACCATACTCACTAAGTGTTGCAGGATGACCTGTAATCTTTGAAATGGTCTCAACCTGAAAGAAGAAAATCAAGATCAGCAGGGCCTCTGCCACAGATAACGTAAATCACATGTCTACATGCATCCCTGTTAAGACTTCTCTCTAGAAGCAGAAGTTTTTTCAGCTATTTTTGAAAATCCATTCTTACGCTAATAGATCTTTTTCTACGCTTCGACATAAGCAGGGCTTTTTTGTAGAAAAAGCCCAGCAGGAACTCATTAGCATAATAGGCCACACCCAACAGAAAAAACATATTAGCATATTAGGCCACACCCAACAGCAAAAATACATTAGCATATTAGGCCACACCCCTGACAGCACAGAGAAGTGTGGTCATCCAGCCACACCCACCTTTTGCTTCTTATTCTGTTTACCTTGTTTGTTGTCAAAACCCAGGGCTTTTTTTGTAGCAGGAACCCTTTGCATGTTAGGCCACACACCCCTAATGTAGCCAATCCTAATGAGTTTCTGCTGTTGGGTGGGGCCTACTATGCTAATGAGTTCCTGCTGGGCGTGGCCAACTCGGGAGCCAGCCGGAACTCCGTTCCTGTGCGTTCCTGCCCAAAAATAGCCCTGGACATAAGTAACAGGTACCGTTAACAATGCAGAGCAGACTGTTTTTCAGTCCATTTGGTTATGTCCACACTACACGCAGACAGCAACAGTAAGAAGAAGAGATTGGATTTATACCCCGCCCTTCACTCGGAGTCTCAGAGCGGCTTACAAACTCCCTGTGAGGTAGGTGGGGCTGAGAGAGCTCACTCGAGAACTGCCCTTGAGAGAACAGCTCTGAGAGAACTTGTGACTGACCCAAGGTCACACCAGCAGATACCTGTCGAGAATTGGGGACTCAAACCCAGTTCTCTCAGATTAGAGTCCGTGCTCCTAACCACTACACCAAACTGGCTCTCCATGAACATACATGAAGCTACCTTCTACTGAATCAGACCCTTGGTCCATCAAGGTCAGTATTGTCTACTCAGACTGGCACTGACTCTCCAGGGTCTCAGGCAGAGATCTTTCCCATCACCTACTGCAAGACCCTTGTACCTGGAGATGCGGGGGATTGAACCCGGGACCTTCTGCATGCCAAGCAAACGCTCTACCCCTGAGCCACAACCCCTCTCCATTTCTGTTCATATAAAATCTCCCACCTGTGTGCAAACTTCTTCAGATACATTTAGACAGACTTCCTCCAGCCTTACATATAGGTAGGGGGTTAGTTCCCAGGAAGGACTAATTAAGAGTCAAGACGTGTAAGTCACTGAGCAATCAGTATAGCTAAGATTGGATTAAAGCAGTTGGTAAGACCCGTTCCGTGCACCTCGGCATCTAGTCATGCCGGCCACATGACCACGGAAACGTCTTCGGACAGCGCTGGCTCTTCGGCTTTGAAACGGAGATGAGCACCGCAACCCTAGAGTCGGACTTGACTGGCTTTCGAGCAAGGGAGACCTTTACCTTTAAGACCCGTGAATAGCAGCAAATTAGTATAGAAATAATAAAAGAGTGAACAAACAGATGTGAGAACCCATTTCCATCTGAGCTGAGTTAGGGTGAGCTAGCTCAGCTTTTTCGCCTCGGGCTCACAAATTTTTGTCTTAGCCAAATTGCTCGCTCACAACTTTAATGCCAGCAGCTCACAAAGTGGAATTTTTGCTCACAGGACCCTACAGCTTAGAGGGGGCATTGATTAAGTTTGAGTCCCGTGGCACCTTTAAGACCGACAAAGTTTAATTCTGGGTATAAGCTTTTGTGTGCATGCCATTGCACACTTCTTTAGACAGAGAATCTGAAGAAGTGTGCATGCACAAGAAAGCTCATACCCAGAATTAAACTGGGTTCCCCTGGACTCAAACTGTGCTTTTTAAAAAATAAATAAATAAGCGGTTTATGGGGTCTGGGGATCCGCTGCAATTCCGGGAGGTCTCCAGCCCCCACCTGGAGGTTGGCAGCCCTGCTTCAAGCCACCACCGCGTACAACGCAGTTAAAGTTCTCTCAACGACGGAGCCGAGAGTTCCACGCTCGTGACGTCACCGCACAGCCCCGCCCCCCGCGACGTCGACAAACGCCACCAATCCTCGTGAGGTCACGCGTCCCCCGCCCGCTAGGGGGGCCTACCTGGGAAGCCGCTGCCTCAGGGCCGGAACCACCAGCGGCCCCATCGCTCGGCCGCCGCGCTCTCGCCCACGCGGCGCAGGAGAATGGCGTCACTCGGGCGCGCCGCCGGGAACCCCAGAAGCAGGCGGCCCAAAAGGAGGAAGGCACGAAGAGCTTCTCTGCCGCCTCTTGCGGCTCGCTCTCTATGGTCCGCGCGGGCGCCACCTAGAGGCTGCGGAGGGAAGTGCGCGCTCCAGCCTCCTTCCCCGGATCCCAAGCGGGCAAAGCAGCACCTGTTGGATTTCTGCCTGGCACGGAGGCTGCTCTGTGGGGGCTGCGCCTACAACCCTGGGAGGCGGGGGCGGTACGTTATACGCCAGAGAGAGATTGTAAAGTACTTTGGAGATAACGTGGATTTTAAAGGTTGCCAACCTCCAGGTGGGGCCGGGAGATCTCCAGCGGCTACAAGTGATTTCCAGACAATACAAGAGGATTTCCAGGCAGGATGGGATGCCTCAGGGCTTAGTTCTTGTGGCCCTCTCTTACACGCCCAGGGAAATGCTGATCGCCACTTTGGTCAGGAAGCAATTCTGGAGGGTTTTTTTGTCCTATTCTGGGCATTCTGTGTGTGGGGGAGGCATTTGTGAATTTCCTGCATTGTCCAGGGGGTTGGACTAGATGACCCTGGAGGTCCCTTCCGACTCTATGATTCCATAATGATTCAATAGAGATCCATTCCCCTGAAAAAAATGGCTGCTTTGGAGGAGGAGCTCTATGGTATTATACCTCCTCACCTTAAAACCTGCCCTCGCCAGGCTCCGCCCCCCAAATCTCCAGGTATTTCCCAACCCAGAGCTGGCAACTGTAGAATTCTGAATAGGGGTGACCAAACAGATCCAGATGGGGTAGCCCTGTTGGTCTGAAGCAGCAGAGCAAAGTCAGAGACCGATTTCACACAAGAGCTGCGCCGCGGTCGCACCGCATTTTGACCCACGGCTTCGCCCAATTTCCTCTGTGGTTTCGTGATCCTGTTATTTGAGGATCACAAAACCGCGGGGAAAATCGAGCGAAGCCGCGGTTCAAAATGTGGCCGCGCAGCTTTGAGTGTGAAATTGACCTATAGAAGTGGGGCAAAGGGAGGCGTGACCTTTAGAAGGGGGGCAAAGGGACGCAGTTCTTGTGTGAAATTGGTCTGAGTCCGGCGGCACCTTTAAGACCGACAAAGTTTAACTCTGGGTATCAGCTTTTGTGCACATGCACATGTCTTCAGGTACTGATCTGATGAAGTGTGCCTGCATACAAGAACGTCTACCCAGAATTAAGCTTTGCAGGTCTTAAAGGTGCTGCCGGACTCAGACTTTGTTCTGTTGCTTCAGACCAACACGGCTACCCCACCTGAATCATACTTTAAATGAGATATTTAAAAAAAAAAAACCTCTTTAGAATGTTCACCTTCTTAATTTTCATGGTTTTAAGATTATCCAGGCATGTCATAGCCAAGCAATTAGGACTGTGTCCAATTAAAGAAAATAACACGCGCATGTATGTTAAAAAAAAAGAAGACAGATGTTGCGTCTTACAAAATCGTTCCTGTTTGGGGAAACAGTGCGCGAATTGGCTGAAACCTGCCTGGCGTTTATTTTCAACGGTCCCCGCTCTTGTATTTTCGCAGCCCCCGGATATACAGAAATGTGTCAAGTAAAGCTTTCCCTGGCGTAACGATAAATATGGGTAAAGGTCCAACTGCTATGCTTCTGTGTGTTCTGAAACAAGGGCGGACAACAAAATAACAATATTGTCAATAATCAAAACAACCAGCAGTCGGGGATTAAAATTAGCCTGCTCCACCAACCAGGCCCAACAAAACGTTCCCTCCATCTTTCCAAAATCCGGGCAGCTTTTCCCTCCAGAAAGAGTTCTGCAAGTACAGCGACACAACAGCAAAACAACAGAGAAAACCCTTGAGAGGCAAAACTGGGCAGCGGTTAGAATTTATTTATTTATTTATTTATTTATTTATTTATTTGTTATCCCGCCCTCCCTGGATTAGGAGCTGCACCCGTTCAGACTAAGGTTGCCAAGCTCCAGGCAGTGGCTGGAGATCTCCTGCTATTACAATTGGTCTCCAGGTGACAAAGATCAGTTCCCCTGGAGAAAATGGCCACTCCGGGAGGTGGACTCTATGGTATTATACCCCGTTGAAGTCCCTCCCCTCCCAAGCCCCGCCCTTCTCAGGCTCGCCCCCCCCAAATCTCCAGGTATTTCCCAGCCCAGAACTGACAACCCTAATTCAGACTAGGATCTGTACCCTGGAGACTCAGGTTCAAATCCCCGTGAAGCTTGTTGGGTAACTTTGGGCCAGTCACATGCTCTCAGCCTAACCTACCTCACAGGGTTGTTGTTGTGAGAATAAAATGGAGGTGGGAAGAACAATGTAAGCGCCTTTGGATCCTTGTTGGGAAGAAAGACGGGGCATAGATTAAATAAACCAATAAAACCCTGGCTCCCATCACCCTTAGGATTTGCCTCCAGGTTCCCGAGGTCTTGAATTTGGCCCCAAGGGAAACTGACAGCCAGTTGACACCCCATAAGAACCCACATCGTGTGCCTTCTGAGAACCAGTTTGGTGTAGTGGTTAAGTGCGTGGACTCTAATCTGGGAGAACCAGGTTTGATTCCCCACACCTCCACTTGCAGCTGCTGGATGACCTTGGGCAAGCCATAGCTCTGTCAGAGCTGTTCTCTCAAGGGCAGTCCTGGAAAGAGCTCTCTCAGCCCCACCTACCTCACAGGGTGTCTGTTGTGGGGAGGGGAAGGGAAAGGAGATTGTGAGCTGCTCTGAGACTCCGAGTGAAGGGCGGGGTATAAATCCAATCTCCTCCTCCTCTTCCTCTGTAGCTAATGGGGATTCCTCTGTGAGAGGCAAGATGTGGCATACAGATTGGTCACATAATCTCTAAATGTCTGTTACGTTGCAGAAATACTTGAGAGAAGCCCCAGATGGCAATCTTGCGCTTCAGTTTTGTTTTTAAATCTCATTTTCTGTAACAGGTTCCATTACACTACAACCTAAACCAGTAGAAGTTTCATGATTTAATGTAGCTGTTCTCTAAGATACCATTCCTACGTAAGAGATGCTAGCGTTCAGATCTGCAGTACTTTAATGCCTACGAAAATTGTAGCCACTTTGCTTTTATTCCTGTATATTTATTGCATATGTACAGGTTGGGATTGCATTGTGTTCTAATGTTGCAATCTATGGGTGGTGTTTGTCTGCTTGCATTGTCTGTATCGTATATACACAAGTTTGGTGTAGTGGTTAAGTGCGCGGACTCTAATCTGGGAGAGCCTGGTTTGCTTTTCTACTCCTCCACTTGCGCCTGCTGGATTACCTTGGGCAAGCCATAGTTCTGTCAGAGCTGTTCTTGAAAAAGAGCAGTTTCCGCCAGAGCTCTCTCAGCCCCACCTCCCTCACTGGGTGTCTGTTGTGGGGAGGGGAAGGGAAAGGAGTTTGTAAGCCGCTCTGAGACACCTTTGGGTAGTGAAGGGCGGGGTACAAATCCAATCGCTTCTTCTAAACTGTTTCATTGCCTCTTGTTGATTCGGTAATCCACCTTTAATGTCTTTTTTTAAAAAAAGTTTATTTATCATTTTCCCATAACAAAAAAGAAAAATATATGCATTATATATACAGAATACTTTTGGAGTTTACATTTACACATTTTGTTCAATCCATCTGTCCATTTTTTGCCATCTTTTTTGAAACACATTCTCGTCTTTCCCTGACAATATCATGTTTACTTTATCCATTTCCTTAATTTCCATAATTTCCATAATTATTTCTTCTCTACTTGGTATTTTATCTGATTTCCAGCATTTCGCTATAAGAATTCTAGAACTAGTTATATAATATTAGACATAACTCATTATATTTAATATGTTTCTGGCACCAACTTCAGATCTATATCAGTAATCTCTAGTATTAGTTGTTTTATAGTTTTCCAAAATTTACAAACCTTCTCACATCTCCACCATATATGGTAGTATGATCCTATGTTATTTTTGCATCTCCAGCAGTTTCCTGAAGCATTCTTATAACATTTAGCTACCTTATCTGGTGTCCAGTGCCACCTGTAAAACATTTTAAGGATGTTTTCCTTATATGTTGGAGCTCTTAATAATTTTATTGATTTCCACATTTTTGACCATTTATCTAAATTACTATTGCAACCCAGATCTTTCATCCAAGCTCTCATACATGGTTTTATTATTTCATCTTGCATCTCATCATTTCACAAAAAATTATATAGCTTTTGTATCATTTTATCCGAGGAGGACAGCCAAATTTTATCTAATTCTGGTTTTGTTTTGGCGAAGTTCCTTATCTTGTCTTTTGCAAATCTTGATTTTAGTTGTACTTTTTCCCAATTTGTAAGATTGATATTTAGTATTTGTAATGTTTCAAAAGTTTTCAGTTCATTGTCTTTAGTTAACAATATTTCATAGTTAACATTCTTGTTTTCAGTCATTAAGGTTGGCATTATAAAAGCTTCTAATGGGGATACCCACATTGGTATTTTGACATAGAACTTTTCTTTGATGTTTCTCCATATTTTTTATTAAAGCTCCTCTAATTATATGGTTATGGAAGTTTTGTTGTGTTTTCTCGTTCCATTACCATACATAGGCATGCCAGCCCATGTGTAGGTCATGACTTTCTAGTTTTAATGTTCTTTTATCCTCTAATAATATCAATTTGCGAATCCATCTCATCACCGCTGCTTTGTAGTAAAGTTGCCAGTCTGGTAATCCAAGTCCTCCTCTTTCTTTTTTATCACGCAGTAGTTTTGTTTTGACACGCAATCTCTTAGCTTGCCGTATAAATTTTCTCACTATTTGGTCTAATTCCTCGCATATTTTATTGTTTTTCAATATGGGTATACATTGTGCTAGAAATAGAAAGCATGGAAGAATATTCATTTTTATCGTGGTAATTCTGCCCATAAATGATGTCTGAAGATCGTGCCATTTATCTAAATCTTTCTTAATATCTTCTATTAAGACTTTATAGTTATTTTCATATAGTTGAGCATTTT